GATGGATGGATAACTAAAAGGGAGGGGCAAAAGAAAGATGGTTCTGTCTTTCCTTTGTCAGTGGGGGTTGTTTGTGGATCTTCAACCAATCACAGAAGGGTTTGAAGTTGGACCTGTGTCCTGATTGGTTGAGCAGCAGACTAAGAACATCAGCTGTGTGTCCGACCGTCCGTCCTAACCCCTAAATCCCTCCATCACTATATAGTGGACTTGATAGTGAACTCAGTTCACTGACCGTTTGGACAGATGATCACTGCTTTTTCCTTCGAGTTGGTCACACCTCCCTGCACAGTGTCTCCGCCATCTTTGTTCTTTCTTGCCACCAAAAAAACTCCCATGATGCTTTTCAAGGATAGCTCTTGCAAAGCTTTCTGTGATATATGTGATCGTCTTGTGACAATGGATGACCACCACTTTTCAAGGTGCATTGTGGTGAATTTCCAGTCCACTCCTCTTTCATCTAAAATGGTGTAACCACTATAGAGCTCTATGGAGGGGTCAGGGGTCAGGGCGGTTTAGACACAGCCTCAGATTTTAACACTTTTTAAAATAAAGTAGCAGAAGAAGAGATTGATGCTGCATTCAGGCATTCACACGTCACAAAATGCTAAAAATACTGAAACCATCGGGAATAATTAAAGAACAGAATCAGGTTAAAAGCTAGAGTCAGGATAGGGACCTGCCAGTCCAGAACAGGAAGGGAATACCATATTTGGACATTGGTGGTGTAGCTTCTGTGTGTTCACTAATCACTTTCACTTTCTGGTTATTTATCACAAAGGATTTGTTCTGTCTCCTTTATCCAAAATGTCTCCCTTAGGAACCAAGTTGAACCTGACGTTCTGCTAACAGAACTGGATCCTGACGTTCCTCTAACAGAACTGGATCCTGACGTTCCTCTAACAGAACTGGATCCTGACGTTCCGTTAACAGAACTGGATCCTAATGTTCCTCTAACAGAACTGGATCCTAACGTTCCACTAACAAAACTGGATCCTGACGTTCCACTAACAAAACTGGATCCTGACGTTCCACTAACAAAACTGGATCCTAACATTCCTCTAACAGAACTGGATCCTAACGTTCCGTTAACAGAACTGGATCCTGACGTTCCTCTAACAGAACTGGATCCTAACGTTCCACTAACAAAACTGGATCCTAACGTTCCTCTAACAGAACTGGATCCTAACGTTCCGTTAACAGAACTGGATCCTGACGTTCCGTTAACAGAACTGGATCCTGACGTTCCGTTAACAGAACTGGATCCTGACGTTCCG